CATATTTAGCTACTTATACTAGCATATTTAGCTACTTATACTAGCATGTTTAGCTACTTCATTGACTCTGTTCTTTTGACGGTGAAGCGATGAACAACCTGAAAAGCTCTGAGGTGTATCAGTATCTACACAGTAATAAAGTCAGTCGTGTTTTGTTAAAAGATGTCGGACACAATCTTATTAACTTTAAATCAGACACAGAGCAGCCAAAACCTTAAAGTTCTCCATCACTGAGCTTGGGTTAATTACAGAGAAAATCATTAAACTGAAGATGAACAAATACTTTAATGCTGCCGTTTCCTTCATACACTTGAAATCATACCAGATATTGTCGTCACTGTTTTCAATCCTTCTGAGGATCCAGCGTCTCTTCTCCGGTGGTTTATTGTCCAGACACAAAGTAGGATGCAGGTTTTCCTCCGTCGGCCGTTTGTCAACAAAGTGAAATGAACAGAGAGAGTTTTGGGTGGTCTCTTCAAATTCACATTTTTCAGCCACGTTCTTCTTAACTCCTCATCTGTAGGTGGGAGATGGAAACTAAACCTCTTTTCTCAGGAACACTCTTTTTGTTTCTGTCCGTGTTCAAAACTCTGTTGTTGTAGCTACTGGTTTAGTTTGGTCTGGTTGTTCTGCAGCTGTGAACACAACAGGTACCTGAACTCAGCACGGCTATTTTAGTAAACTTTATGGTTGTTAAATAAATGTAAACAAAACAAAAACAGTGTGTTATCTGCTAAACTGAATGAAAATTACTTTCAAATAAACCGTGGTCCGTGCTCCACTACCATGGTTAACCAATGCTCACTGCTACTTCCTGTATCTGACAGGAAGTAGTGCCATAATCATTTATACAGTGGAGCCCCCTGAAATAAGGTGGATACAACTGGCTTCAATCCCAATCTGATGAAATATCCTAAAACACGTTTCATAGAGCGCCTGTTTTATTTCATACAGTAGTCTACATTTGAATAGATTGTCAGTTGATTTAAGTGAAAGTTCAACAAGTAAGTTTTTAAAATAAACTTTAGAGACCAATCACTGCTGAGTGCAATAAATGTCACATTTCTAAACTGTTGGTGCACCATTGTAAATGTTAAAAAGGTCTTTGTTGTTGGAAGATGCTACTCTGTCTGACTCCATCTTAACATTGTTTTTGTCTGTTTTCAGTTTGAAACGTTTCCCTGGTTACGATGCAGAAAGCAAAGAGTTCAACGCTGAGGTGCACCGGAAGCACATCATGGGCATGAACGTGGCGGACTACATGTCCCAACTGATGGAGGACGACGAGGATGCCTACAAAAAGCAGTTCTCTCGCTTCATCAAAAACGGCGTCACACCAGACACAGTAAGATGAGTCTTTGAGCCGTTAAACACCCGCTGCTCTGGTTTTCTTCTTAATGATGATGCAGAATGTAGTTCTTCATTTGCATCAGCTGATGTTTACTGTTCATTTCAAGTCGGGGCTGCAAGAAAAATCTGTGGACAGAATGAAAAATGCTTAGAGTGGTGCTTAAATGTCTTCTTTTTGTTTGTTTTCAGGTCGAAGAAATGTATAAAAAAGCGCACGCTGCCATCAGAGCGAACCCCGTACATAAAAAGAAACCGAAAAAAGACGTGACAAAGAAAAGGTGGGTTTCAAGACAAATTCCTTCTGGCACGTTAAAAGGATCTTGTGTGTATTTTTAGGTTTACTTGTTGTAGGTGTCTCCTCTAACGGCCTCAGATGGTTTCAGTCTGACGGCACTGAGAGCCAGCAGCTTGTCTGAATGCAGTAAAGACCGAAGTATATCACGGCCATTTTTAAAATGACTCCAGCCTCCAAAACTTAGTGCATCACTACCAATTTCTCAAAAATAATTAATTCTGTTATTTAATAGCACAGATAGTGGTGGCTGTAACACTTGTAGTGCAGCCTGACGTCAAATCAGGCAGGAATAATAATAATAATAATTCTACCAAAATTATCAGATAATGTGAAACTGGCAGAAATGTAAAAGTTTAGTCTGTTCATTTTTGAAGTGATGCTTTAATAGTTGTCAGTTGCGGTGACATTAGTCATAGAGCACCAAGTATTGAGAGAAGGATGAAGGTCTTTATCCAGGCTAGGCTAATGAGACATTTTACACATTTTCATGGATATAAACTAATTCTTAAAGGTGACAGACACAAGTGTAAAATGACCCTGCCTTAGTTTAGTTTTGCACAACACTGTTTAGGTTGTTGCTGTTTTCTCATCAGAACCGTGTTCTGTTTCCTAACACTAATATAAGCTGATGGTGCAGAGGCATCGGTCGGGCCTGGTCGGCACGCTGTCAGTCAGAAGTTTTACTCCCGGTGGACAGATGCACGCAGGCCGCTCATGATAAACAGAATTTATTGATGTTCAGCACAAAACATTCATGTAGTAAACGAAACATTGTTCAGTTAAAGGGTGACCAACTAAAAGTGTTATGCAGAAGTCTAGAGGTTTATTCATTATTAGCTAACATAGCACTCTTTCACACCAGCATGTTTTCAAGACTTCCATAAACATGAGAAATGATTTTTAAAAGGTGCCCCTGGTTTGGCTGGCTTTTAGCCTAGCTTGGATTAAGACTTTTGCCTTTGTTTTAACTCTGTGACCAACGACACTGATAAGGTACTATTAACTATTCAAGCAAGCATAGTTTTTGAGTGTCATGAATCCCTTTTACCCTGAATTATTCCCATATTCTACTTAACCGGACATCCTAACGCTCCATCGTGAGGGGAGTCGGTGATCTGTTTAACTCACGGAGCTTCTCATGCAGTTTAAAGCTCAGAGCTCCACTCCAGTTTTAAATGAAGAGTTCCTTACGTGGGACGAGACGTCCTCAAAAGTCCAGTTTTTTTGTTCGTTTAGCCATTTCCTGAATGACCGAGGATCCACACCTTCATGTAAAAGCAGCCCTTTTCTCTCCTCTGATGGGCTGAATCTTAATGAACTCGTCTTTTTGTCTCTTCCTGCAGGTGGAATCGTGCCAAGCTCTCTCTGGCACAGAGGAAGAACCGCATCGCCCAGAAAAAGGCCAGCTTCTTACGAGCACAAGAACAAGAAGCAGGGGAGGGTTAGGGGCCACGGTTAAATTCAACACACATCACAGACAAATAAATCTATTGAACATGAGCTCATGTCTCCGTCTGCTTTCTATAAACGTTACTCCTCCTGTGCTATATTTTAAATCAAGACGAACAGAGTGTGGGGTATAACATTTATTTGTGCAAAAGTCATGCTGGTTCAGTAAATCAACTTTTTTTAACTCGGCAGCAGTGACTGAACAGATTAAAAAAAAAAAAATTAATCCAGCAACGATGAAAAATGTTTTCTACAGCATGTGTTGTAAATAAAACAACTGCTCCCTGATAGACATTCATAAAATAACCAGCATCATCTAGGGCACTGACGAGGAAAAATATAAAAACAGGTGATAAAGAGTAATTCAGTGAGAAATGAACATTCTTAATTAGTTTTTGGATGCAGCGACGATGTCAGAAATGCCCAGCATGTTCAACAGATACAATCCTTCACAATGTCCATTAACAGCAAATGAGCAGACGAAAGGCCACCGTCAAGTTTTTATCAACCTTCCAGGTTTTCACAGGATTCTTTTGGAAAGTTCCAACATTTACAGAGTGAGTTAATGTGATTTGGCAGATGTGATTTAAAACGTTCTGTCAAACAAGCCTCAGTTTTATCTTTGTACCTTTTTCTGCAGCAGCAACACGATGCACGATCCGTACAGGAGCACATTCTATGACTGACTAGAGAAAACAATCGACCGGGTGAGAGCATATATCTGGGGGGGGGGGGGTGTTCTGTGCTGACGTGGTTTGTAATGCCACAGTGACGCTGGTGCATGTTCATGAAACAATCCGGGCTAACTGAAAAATTCAGCAACAATTAGATTTTAATGTGAAATGAAAGCTCAGAACAGTGACCACAGTTTCATCAGTCCCACCTTCACATGTAACGTCCAGCAGTCTAGATGCAACTTCTGTTAAACTTTTTTAATAAAAGCTTTACACTTTCAAAATCTCAGTGCTGTGGAAGTATTCACCCACCTACAAATTGATTCAGTTTTTGCTTCATGTTTCATGGCAGCAGCACGGTGGCTCAGTTGGTAGAGCTGCTGCCTCTCAGTGAGAAGGTCGCCGGTTCAAATCTCCACTGGGTGGAGTTTGCATGTTCTCTCTGTGCATGTGTGGGTTTTCTCCAGGTACTCTGGTTTCCTCCCACAGACCAAAAACATGCATGTTAGGCTGATTGGTAACTAAATTGTCTCTAGGTGAGAGTGATAGTGAATGATTGTTTGTCTCATTTGTCTCCATGTGTCCCTGTGATGGACTGGAGACCTGTCCAGGGTGCCCTTTACACAATGATAGATGATGGATATGGGCACCAGTGACTGACAAAGGAAGCGGGTAAAGATGATGGATGTTCATATCAAATATTGATATTAATCTGAGTAAATACAGAATGTAGTTTCCAGATAATTGTTTCATTTATCAGGGGAAGTATCCAAACCAAGCTCTGTGTGAATGGTCCTTTAAATGTATTAACTGGTTGAACCACCCTCAGTAACTCCTGCAAGTGATAACTGATGTTCATGTGGAGGAATGTTGCTGCTGTGCTTCACTTCATCGTCCTGCTGCAGAACTCGAGAGAGCTCGAGTCACAAACTGAGCCACATTTTCTCTTTATGGTTTCTGGATCAGAACTCATGGTTCCATCAATTACAGCAAGTTGTTCAGGTGTAGAAGCAGCCTCTGACCATCCTACAGTACAACCACCATGCTTGACTGTAGGTGTGATCGTTTCTTTTAAATGCAGTGTTACTTGAAAGCAGATGTAACGGGACACACACAACTTCCACTTTGTCTCATCTGTTCAGTTTCCAAAAGTCTTGGGGATCATCCAAATGTTTTTTGGTCAGTGTGGGACCGGCTTTAATCTAGCAGCATAGTCTTTGGTAAATGGACTACACTTTTATATCTCCTTTCTATCTAATCAAGACACTCAAAGCTCTTTACAAAACAATCTGTGTCCTCATCTACCCATTCATACCGCACTCTACTATATCTGTACAAAGATTAGTCAATGTTTTATCACATTCACCAATGGGACACACATCAGAGGCAATGAGGCGTTCAGTGTCTTGCCCAGCAACACTTCAACATGCGACTGCTGGTGGAATCGAACTCTCCCATTGGAGGACAACCGCTGTAACCACTCAGCCACAGCCGCCTGCTGTTTTAGTCCTAGCCGTTTCTTATGGAGGTCATCTGAACTAACTGCAGAGCTTTAGATGATGACTTGGGTTCTGAGAACTGGATGGGTTTTCAATGGGGAGTCATTTTGGTGGGAGGGTTCACCACTGTTCCATGTTTTCTCAGTTTGTGGATATAAGGCCTTAAGTTGTTATTTTTTTACAGCTCTGGCAGTGATCAATAATTTGAAAATCTATTTTTGTATTTAATCAGGTCATTCTTTGTCTAAATTTAACATTTACTGCTGATCTGAAATATTCGAGTGCAACAAAAACAGAAGAAACTTGTAAAGAGGGTGAATACTATTTTCTAAAACACGTGTCACCTGATACAGCAGTGTTCTCGACAACAAGTTCTCTTAAAAGACCAAATCTAATGTTAAGTGAAGCTGCAGGAGGAATCATTTTAATCTTATTTTAATGTATATTCTTACACTCATTCATAAAAATTAACAGATTTTTTTTTTTACAGTGGATTTGTCCAAAAGAAAAAGACGTGTTATTGTAATCCTTATGTTTTAATGATCAACTCATTTTGTTATACTTCGTCAGAACAAAAGTAGAATTAAAATTCGTTAAAAACCTACAGCACTGATTTGTGATCTCTTTAAAGTGAATAAACGTGGGTCAGCTGCTCTGATGTGACAGAAACAGCACGTTGGTCTCAGCTCTTTGACAGCACTCTGTTCTTGTGTCAGAACAACGCTCTGTGATGAACAGTACAACAAAATGTGCTCGTGTGAATAGTTTTAGAAAAGATTAATGAACGTACAGTAAAATTCTTATAAAAGTACAAGATGATTTTTAGGCCCTAAACTTATGGATTAGAGTAGAGGAGGTAGGACCACCATCTTTAGTTAGAAGTTGACATAAGTAACTTCATTAACCAGTAATCACAGCATCTTTTGCTTTCAGCTCTACCTGAAGGATTAGCATGATATCAGGGGGACATCGTCTCCTCGTCACGAATCCTTGGTGTGTGAGATCTGTCTCCACAGCAGAGCTTTCAGGTTGTTGAGGATAAGTGAGTGCTCTATGTTCATCTGTCCAGCGTTACCCCTGAGAGCCATGCAGGCGTACAGCTGCCGCTCCAGTTCCTCTCTCATCTCAGAAGGCGCCCCACGCAGCAAGTAGTCCTTCAGTGTCCTGCACGCCTTGGCCAAGTTTGGCTGGACGGTCTCCTCCCTGCACCGTTTCTCCAACAAGTCGCACGATGTCCTGCAGTCCACGCCATACACGCAGTCGGCATCCGACTCGCACTTCAAGACTCGCACGCTGCGTCTGAACTCGTTTTCAGGAACCATCACTCGTGTGTTGGTCAGACGGAGCTCGTGGCGGTCGGTGTATCCAAAGTGAGCTGCAGCAAAGTCACAGATCAGGAAGCTGCCATAGGTGCCGTGGAAGATGTCCTCCACGAGCTCCAGCAGCCCCATGGAAATTTTAACTTTGCGTGGCCACGACGGGGTGAACCACTGGTCCATGGTGCGCTGCAAACGACCGGGCACCCAGGAAACAAGAGGCCAGGGCAGTGAGAACCCGTACAGAGGCCCATAGGGGACCCGCTCCGTCATATACAGGTCTCCACAAAAGCCAAGAAGGCGAGGAGTGTGTCCACGGTCCTGGAGCAGCAGGCCCAGCAGGACCTAAAAAAATAAAATAAAATTATTGTCACCACGAAGATAAAGGAGGATGCTCAATGCTGAGAAATAAAGCTAGCATGAAAATCATCAGTTAATGAAGGTTCAGGAGCAGAAAATGTTTCTCTAATTACTTGACGAGACTTCTTATACCAGTTTGGTCTCGACTGTGTGTGTGCTCCTCGATAAAATTCTTAACTTACTTTTTATGTATATGAATGTTTCTGTTTAGTGCTCTGAGATGACTTCTGTTGTGACTTGGTGCTATTTAAATAAACTGAATTGAACTGCGTTATTATCTTAAGTCCAGTCTCACCATCCATCAAACAGGCTGTCCTCATTGGTTTAATAGAACCTCTCCACTCACATTTATCTCACTCATCCTCTTTATTTGATAAATGTTGGACGATGCTTTATTTTCTGATGATAAACGCAGACAAATCTGAGGTTTTGGTTGTTGGACCAGCATCTTATGAATAAACTTTGCAGCCTTTCACTTCCTCTGGATGTAATAATCTTTGCTTCCAGATATAATGTAAAAAAATATATATATAATTGTTGATCAGGACATGTCTTTTAACCCTCACAATAAAAAGTTACTAGAACTGCCTTCTTCCACCTGTGTAATATCACTAAAATTAGAAACATCTAAAAATGATGCAAGTTCATGCATTTGTCACGTCTAGACTGGACTATTGCAATGGTTTATTATCTGGGTGTCCAAATACTTCTTTAAAACATCTTCAGCTGATCCAAAATGCTGCTGCCAGAGTCTTAACTGGAGTTAGTGGGAGAGATCATAGCTCTCCAGTTTTAGCTTCTCTCCATTGGCTCCCTGTCAAATCCAGAATAGAATTCAAAATCTTACTTCTAACCTACAAAGCCCTCAACAACCTAGCTCCATCTTATATTACAGATCTTACTGTTCCATATTTTTCTAACACAGCACTTTGCTTTATCCTTTATGGTGATCCTTTCTTTTTTATTGCTCTCTTGTGGAACCAGCTTCTAGTTTCGGTTTGTGAGGCTGACACCTGGTCTAACCTTTCCTTTGATAAATCCTATAGTTAGGGTTGGCTTGGGCTTTCTGAGCTATCTATGCTGCTGTAACCTGTGTTTTTTTTCTATAGTAACTACACCCAGACCAGCTATTCTGTGGTTGTTTGGGTTTCTTTCCTGCCCTCTCCAACCCCAGCAGGTTGAGGCAGATGGCCACTCGTCTCGAGTCCGGTTCTGGTAGAGCTTTCTTCCTGTTAAAATGATGATGTTCAAAATGAAGGACTGCAAAGAAGTGACAAGTCTGCACAATCTACAATCTTCCCTAGATAACCTTTATCAACTGGTGTGTCATAATGTACTGGATGTGACTGATTGCACATGTAGTTGGATTTGGATCTGGACCTGAATGGATTTATTTTGACTTACTGTTTTTATACAGCACACTGATGTGACTTTTGTTGTGAATTGGTGCTATATAAATAAACTGAACCAAACTGAATTCATTATTTTTTCTTGTTTGTTTTGTTCCCCTTTTTCCAGGTACAGTGACAAGGCTGAGGCTGTCCACACTACAGAGGAAGCTAATTTCATCAGACGGTTGTATACTGGATCTTGGTCTTTTGGTCATGATCTACTGTAGATGTCATGACCATATAGGATAAGGATGGAACATACATGAGCCATTAAACTGAAAGCCTTAGCTCTTTCTTCAGCACAACAGCATGGAGCAATGTGCCCATTGTTGCAGACGAGGCCCTAAATCTTCCATTTTCTGTTCCATCCTGCTATCACTCATGAACAAGACTCAGATAGTTGAGCTTGTCTGCTTGTTGCAAAGACTAGTGCTCTACCTACTTCCAGTACTTCCGGTAAGATGGCGCCCGTGTACATGGCTTGCAATCCACCTCTGCTGATGGTGTTCGGATTATTTGTGTTTTGTTCGTTTTTCATCTGGGACATAAACTCGCTGCTGGTGTATGAGCGACAACAGCTGCTGGATCTTTGTTTTTCTGCCGCCGATGTCGCTTATTTGAGCATAATGAGCATACCATTGGACCCCCCCCCCTTCCCCCGCTGCTGGCAGACGTGCCTGTTTACCTCCGCCCCGCTCTCCACCTGCCTGCCTGGAGATATGGATAGAAAATCAAAACTCAGAGCAGAACCTTGCCTGAATGATGTCACCAAGGCCGTTAGACTGCAGTGCAGGAGGGCGGAGCGCAAGTGGCGGAAAGACAGGCTGCAGGTCTCTTTTCAAATACTTAAAGAGAGTTGGCGTTGTTATCGGAAAGCGGTGAAAGCTGCTAAATCCAAATACTTTTCTGATATCATTACCTCAAACCCTCACAACCCACGTGTCCTCTTCTCCACCCTAAACTCTGTTCTCCGCCTCGACTGAGCTGTGCGACAACTTCCTACAATTCTTTTTGGAAAAAATTGCGACCACCCGGGCTCTCATTTCCCCTCCAACTCATGACTCATCAATCCCACCTCAATCTGTAGCTCTATTTGACCATTTTGAACCCATCACTCTATCTTCTCTAGAGCAGGTCATGTGCAGCTTGAAACCTTCTGGTTCCCCCTTTGATGTGGTCCCCCCTCGACTACTAAAGGAGGTTTTTCCTACTCTAGGTCCGTCCATTCTTGCTAATTGTAAATAGCATTTATTCACTGGCATTGTGCCAAAAACCTTTAAACATGCTGCTGTCCAGCCTCTCCTAAAAAAAACAAACCTTGACCCCTCAATCGTATCCAACTTCTGTCCCGTCTCCAGACTCCCATTTGTTTCTAAATTACTGGAGAAAATAGTTGAGTCCCAGTTGAAGTGCTTCCTGGAGGATCAAGCCATCTTAGAGCTATTTCAATCTGGCTTTAAACCTCTCCACAGAACTGAAACTGCCCTATTGAAGGTTTTTAATGACATCTTCAGATCCACAGATACTGATGATTCTGTGCTGCTTGTCCTATTGGACCTGACAGCCGCCTTTGACACCATCGACCATGAGATCCTCATTGCTAGGTTGAGCAGTGGGTGGGCATCACAGGGTCAGCCCTCAATTGGTTCAGATCTTACCTCGCTGACAGATCCTTTTGTGTCTCCATCAAGGACTTTAGTTCTGTAGCGGCAGAGCTTAAATGGGGGGTTCCACAGGGGTCCATCCTGGCTCCCCTCCTATTCTCTTTATACCTGCTGCCACTTGGTGCTATTTTCCAGAAACACAACATGCCCTTTCACTTCTACGCCGACAACTGTCAAATTTACTTCCCCCTAAGACACAATGGTACATGCTCTATTCAACCTCTGCTTGACTGCCTGGCTGACATCAGGGACTGGATGGCTCTAAATTTCTTAAGTTTCAATGAAAAGAAGTCTGAAGTCATGTTGTTCCCTCCTAACGACACAATCACAAACCACTCCATTGACCTCTCCGCTCTAACCCTGTCAGAAAAACAAAGAGTCACAAATCTGGGCGTGATAATGGACCCTTCCCTGAAACTTAACAGTCACGTAAACATGATTGTTAAATCAAGTTTCTTCCAACTGAGGCGGCTGTCTAAACTGAAGCCCATATTGTCCAAAAATAACCTGGAGACAGTAATACATGCATTCATTACATCTAGGCTTGATTACTGAAATTTGCTCCTGTTTGGTATCAGTCAGACCTCCATTGCACGACTACAACTGGCCCAGAATGCAGCAGCCCGATCTTTAACAAGTACAGGCAAAAGAGAGCACATTACTCCAGTTTTGGCCTCACTGCACTGGCTACCGGTTCACCTTCGAATCCAGTTCAAAATACTCCTGTATGTCTACAAATCGCTGAACAGTTTCGCCCCCCCATCTCTCTGATCTGCTACAGCCGTATGTCCCACCACGTTCCCTGAGGTCAGAGGACCAGTTGCTCCTCACAGTTCCAGGAACTCGTCTTAAGTGCAGAGGTGACAGGGCCTTCTCTGTAGCGGGCCCAAGACTTTGGAACGAGTTACCTCTGCTTGTCAGACAGGCCCCCTCCCTCTCGGTTTTCAAGTCCCGTTTAAAAACCCACTACTATTCAGTAGCTTTCAACACCAGATGATCTGTGTTTTGAACCTGTATGCTCCACACTGGTTAGACATCATATTTATTATCTGCATCATTTTTTATGTCTATATTCTGATTTACCTCATTTTGTATATTGCTTTGTGTGTTGCCTGTTTTTCTGTCTGTACAGCACTTTGGTTGGTCTTGTCGCTGTTTTAAGTGCTCTATAAATAAAATGGTATGGTATGGTATGGTACCTGTGGGAGTTCCTGTTCCATGTCTGTCTTTAGTCACTAGAGGGCGCCATACTACTACACCTGCAAGCAATGTTTCCTGATGGGGCTCCAGGCGTATGTAAGTTACCCGATGACTTCCCTTTGACACTGGAGCATTACCCTGCTTATGGTTCGTGCTTCTAGCCTTTTTGTGAATCCCTAGTCTTGTGGTTACTTACCTTTGCCTTGTGATCTGTCCAGTGTGCCTCCTGAGCCCTACCTGATTACTGGACCTCCCAGCGAATATCTGGAAACTTACCTGTGCGTTCTCCAGCTGTTCTCATCGCCCTCCAGCCACATGCCCTTCTGAGTCTACTGGACCTTCTCATGACTATACAGGATATTGGAACCAAGCTACTTACCATCCATCTACTAGTAAGGACCCTGAACGTTCTGATCAACCCCTTATTGCAGAACTTTGGACTTGACCCATCTCCTTGCTCTCCATGGTTCCTGATAATTCCTGAACTATTGCTCATTGTAAATAAAAACACTGAATTTGTACCATAGTGTCTTGAGTTGTTCATGATCAGTCATTTCGCTCTGGGTATTCTGTTCTTGAGACACTACCTTTCCTGATGTTCTTTCATTCTTACAAATTGTCTCATCTGTAAACTTGTAAATTGATCCTATTGTAGCACTGCGTTACACAAATAAACTGAGGTACCTCATCCATTTGCAGTAGGGCCCATGTTGAGCGGGCCTCTGGTAATGAGACCCGTCCATCTCTGTTGCCGTCGGCGACAGACAGGATCTGACTCACAAGGCTAGCAAGGTTGGCATGCTCTCCAAGCTTGGACTGGCAGACAGAGAAAGACATGTCAGGCTTTGGTCCATCATAGATTTAACTTGATCTGACTTTTTATTACTCAAACTCATGTTTTCCACCTTGAGGTGATTGAAGACCATCTCTTTGAACTTCTCCACTGAGGTGCCTCTAGTAGGTTTGTCAAACATAAGGGTTTCTCTTCGTGGCTCTGGTTCTTCTCCCAGCTCGTAGTGCACCACCTCCCCCAGACTGCAGTGGATTATCCCACTGTGCTCCCCCCAGGCTCCTGTGTACACCTGATATGAAGCAGCAATGCCAAAAAATCAAATTAAAAACATGCAACTTTCTGTAAAAGTAATCACAATCAGCACAAACAGAAGTTTAACAGAAAGTACACCTGCTGCCTACCTGGTTATTTGTTAGGGTTGACAGACACCTGCCCAGGTAAAGTGTTTCTTTGTCACACAGACTGGTGCAGGCCGAGCCGTCGATGATTCCTCTCCTGTATTTATCACACTTAAAAAAAATAAACAATTTGATCTTATTTACTTCAACAAAATCTGATTATACAGGTTTAAAAGAAAGTAGATACACCTTCCGACAGGTTTTTCAGTCAGTTCAGTGAGGTTCTGTAGGGTTATGCCAGAAGTTTTGCTGCACATCCTGATAATCCGAGATTACACAGTACCACCATCAGGTATGAGGTGTTTGTGATGATATTCTATTGTTTGGTTTTCACCTAACATGGCACTGTCATTACATTTGGTCTCACTAAACATATTGCTC